GGAAATCTAGGCAAAACTATCCAGGACATAGGAGTAGGCAAGGACTTCATGAACAAAACACCAAAAGCATTGGCAACAAAAGCCAAAATAGACAAATGGGACCTAATGAAACTCCACAGCTTCTGCACGGCAAAAGAAACAGTCACTAGAGTGGATTGGCAACCAACAGAATGGGAAAAAATTTTTGCAGTTTACCCATCTGACAAAGGGCTGATATCCAGAATTTACAAAGAACTCAAACAGATTTACAGGAAAAAAACAAACAAGCCCATTCAAAAGTGGGCAAAGGATATGAACAGACACTTTATGAAAGAAGACATATATGAGGCCACCAATCATATGAAAAAATGCTCATCGTCACTGGTCATCAGAGAGATGCAAAGCAAAACCACATTGAGATACCATCTCACGCTAGTTAGAAGCGATCATTAAAAAATCTGGAGACAACAGATGCTGGAGAGGATGTGGAGAAAAAGGAACACTTTTACACTGTTGGTGGGAGTGTAAATTAGTTCAACCATTGTGGAAGACAGTGTGGTGATTCCTCAAGGCCTTAGAAATAGAAATTCCATTTGACCCAGCAATCCCATTACTGGGTATATATCCAAAAGACTATAAATCGTTCTACTATAAGGACACATGTACACGAATGTTCATTGCAGCACTGTTTACAATAGCAAAGACCTGGAATCAACCCAAATGCCCATTGATAATAGACTGGATTGGAAAAATGTGGCACATATACACCATGGAATATTATGCAGCAATCAGAAATGATGAGTTTGTGTCGTTTGTAGGGACATGGATGAATCTGGAGAACATCATCCTCAGCAAACTGACACAAGAACAGAAAATGAAACACCGCATATTCTCACTCATAGGTGGGTGATGAAAAATGAGAACACATGGACACAGAAAGGGGAGTACTAAACACTGGGGTCTATTGGGGGGAAAAGGGGAGGGCCAGTGGGAGGGGGAGGTGGGGAGGGATAGCCTGGGGAGAAATGCCAAATGTGGGTGAAGGGGAGAAGAAAAGCAAAGCACACTGCCATGTGTGTACCTACGCAACTGTCTTGCATGCTCTGCTCATGTACCCCAAACCTATAATCCAATAAAAAATTAAAAAAAAAAAAAAAGAAATTTCTCTTATATTGTCAGTTTGCTGAGAATTTTTATTATGGATGGATGTTACACATGTCACGTTTTCACTGTATCAGTTGACATGATAATGTTATTTTTCTTCTTTAGACTGTTAATATGGTAGAACACATTAAATGATATGGCTTTTTCAGTATTCATTTATAGTAAAATATCCAGTTCTATAGTATCCAATACAGTCACCACTAGCAGCTATTGTAATGTGGCTACTGCTACTGAATACTAACATTCAAGTTAAATTAGATAATTTTACTTTAGTTAGCAAGTGCAACAAATAGCTATTATATTGAGTTGTGTAGAGATATAGAACAGTTCCGTTAATAAAGAAAAATGTTCTGAATAATGCTGATTTTGCTAAACTCTTAATTTTAATAATATATATGTCTGTATAAAATCCTAAAAGAAATTAAAATCATATCATGTATAAACTACTATTTCTAAATGTTATTTCTTTTTCACTACAGTAGTTGGGACATCTCGTACCACACTAAACAAAACTGGTAATAATGTATATCTTTATCTTGTTCTTGATATTAAAAAAATGTTTCTCAGAGGTTTCACCATAAGATATATATAAACATATGTATACATATGCAAATAAAATTTCCACAAGAGAACACTTTTTATGTTCAAAACCACTGAGCATTGTGTTAAGGCAACATGTTTAATTGGAATGTTTAAATACTTGTTAATTTTATGAAGTTAGGCCATGTGATTTTAAATGGCATTTGATAGACAAGAATTTTTGAAACACTTTTTTTTCTAATGGTAGGATATAAGATATATTGAATAGAATCAGAAAAATGAAAATGCCTTTGAACTATTATTAGAACTCTGCAACTTTGCTTACTCATCCTGTTCAATTTTGGTTTGATTTATTTGTAAAGAAATAGTTCATCTTGTGATGTGACACAACTGCAGGGACATATGCAGGAATCTTTGGTGCTTTAAAGTTCACTGTTGGGGAAGCAAGTCACGTTTCCAGGCAACTGGAATGGACTGATTGAAGTATGGAGAACTAACTGAGCTTCTACTTGAGGCAGCACCAACTACTTTAGCCATCATCACTGCAAGCATTCTGCCTCAGGTTTTAGAAAAATCAGATTGCACAGATTTAATGGGGAAAAACAAGTATTGCAAAGCTTATTTTATAATGCTTCTCTCTTTGTGTGAATGTGCTTCATGGAAGAATAAAAATTGTTTTACACTTAAATAAGTAGAACTGAACAAGGGAAATTTCATTTGTAGCTTGGCAGCCCCTGTTGTGTCTCCTTCTATCTCAGAGCATTTTCAAAGAAAAAGCCAGTTTGGTGGTAACAAGAAACAGATCTTGGCCAAGGTTATCCTTTGTACATTTTTTAAATGCATGAGAAAACAAGTTGACATCTGTAAATCTAAAATAAAACATATAACATATAATTGTAGAAAATTCCAGATCTATAACTTATTTGCCTGCTGAATTGAACCTACTCTCTTATTAGTCACCTCTCTTTCCTGCTCTTTGCCACTGGGTCTTAAGTATGCTAACCACACCTTCTGCTTCTTAAGACTTAATATATTCTAATTTTTGTATATAGTGACATATTCTTAATGATTTTAACATATTAGAACTAACAAAATTAATATTGAGAATATATTAGTATTAGAATGAAATGAATACAGTTATTATGTAATTGATGGAATTAAGAATTGTAGCAGCTAACTTGTGTGACCTAAAAAAGTAAGTTAGTAGAAATTTATGTCTGCTTTAAAATAAAAGATCTGGAATGTGTCAAGAGAGTCTAATGTATTAGTACTGCTTCTCTCCCAGAAATCCCACAGTGCTCTGAAATATTGCCAAGAGAATTGGTTCCTGTGGTATAATTTCCACACTGTTTCTACTTATACTTACTTCAAAACCTGTAAAAAGGCACCACTAATGCAACTGTCTTCAGCTGAAACTGATTACAAAGCACTACTTTTAGGTAGTAAAATTTGTACTAATAGGGTGGTAACAAAAGCCTGTCAGAAATCCATCTCAAAGGATAAACACATCATTCTATGATAGCAAAGTATTAGCAATGCAGTAACAAAAAAATAAATTCAGAATATCAGGACAAATTCCCCATGCAACCTTCTGAGTCATTTATATCCATGGTATTTTTCAATTTTCCCTGATTCTTTAGTCAATCTAAACAATAAGACAGTAAATGATAAGCTCTAACAATCTATCATACAAACTACAAAATATCAACATTTTCTTATCTTCTAACATTGGAAAATACAAGATACCATTTTTACTTTAACTGTGGTCAGACATGTTATTTCATGACGCCTTTTAGGAAGTCAGCCCTTGAGTTCTACCTCTATCCCAGGCATTCATTAATCAGTCAAGAAATTGGAAAAATAAAAGCATAAAAATTGTTTTCTTCATTTTAGTGTGACATACCATTGGTGTAAACATTGACATATGCATATATTTGATCCAAAATTAGTCCAAAGAGAATTATCTAAATCGTGATTCAACAATACTTATAATCTTCCACCACATTCTATTCACTGTGGCTCTAAATCTTTCTATATACGAGCTATAAATTACCAGAGTCAGTCATTTTGTTAAATTAGAAGAAATAAATTTACTTTATTTATAAAGTGATTATTATAAAAACAGAAACTGGCATATCAATTCCTTTTTTGCAGTTCCTTCTCATCTCTTTCTATAGTTAGTACATCCAGTGATACAAATTCATTGTAATGATACATAAGAAAGGAAAATAAGTTTAAATCATAGGTGAGAGTGTAATGACACAAACACAAAAATGATTACAGATTTACTGTGGAAAGAAATTTAAGATACTTTTAGTAATATAATAGTACAGTATTCATCTAAAAAATTGTATTTTCCAATTCACTCCATTTCTTAGTTTTAAGATATAAATAAATTTATATTATTGAAAAACTAAAATGGTTTAAACAGTTTAAGAAATAAAGTATGATTTTTCACTCATAACCCTTGTCTATCCCATATTTACCCTTTCCTCTATAATTTATCACTTTTAGTAGTTTTTAATATCAATATTTTTTATGAAAATAACTTCAAACATTACTGTATATCTATCCTTATCATCCTCAAAGTATTCAGCAACTTGCCAAAGGGCACTAAAATGACTGTTTTGTAACAGGATTAAAATTTAGGACATCTAATTTCAAAGTCCAGATGTTTAATTATAGCAATGTTACTGCTTCTAATAACTAGATGAGTTTTGTAAGTGATCTAAGTATTTTTTTTTTTTTGAGGCAAAGGTTTGCTCTATTACCCAGGTTGAAGTACAGTGGCATTATCTTGGCTCACTGCAATCTTCGCCTCTTGGGCTCAAGTGATCCTCCTGCCTCAGCCTCCCAAGTAGCTGAGACCACAGGCATGTGCCACCATGCCCAGCTAATTTTTTGCATTTGTAGTATAGATGGGGTTTTGCCACATTGCCCAGGCTGGTTTCGAACTCCTGACCTCAGGTGATCCGCCTGCCTCCACCTCCCAAAGTGCTGGGATTACAGGCATAAGCCACTGCACAGTATTTTCTTTTTTATTATATTATTTTAATTATGGAGATCTTTCTATTCATACAAATATATCAGTGTCATCGAATATTATGATTATTAGCAAGTAAGCTACTCTCTGATGTTCAAAGTTACACCTTTTTTTCCCTCCTGCATCATTTTTGTAAGATCCATTCTCTAATACCTCTCTGTGTCAAAAAATGGAAGTAACTCATACAGCACAAGACTGTATGTATTCCTACTGGAGTTATTAACCAACACCAGGCTCCCCTACTGCATCATTGTCTTGTGCCACCAAAGCTTACCGTTCCTTTGCTGATGATAAAGAAGGTGTCCCCTCTTGCACCTTGCCTGATAATATATTCTCCATTTTCATAGTGGGTCTGAAAAGCAGAAACAATAAGAAAAAAAATTAAGCTAGCAGTAAGCTACCAAACAGCTCAGCCTCTTCAAATATCAACCCCCAGTGATACATTCATCATGATGGAATTTTATCCCAGCCTAGTACTCCTCACAATTTAATATTGAATATTAGCCAATGTATGCAATAATTACAGAGATTTCATTTCTATAATGCTCATTTGCAAGACTGTTTTTAATGTCATTTTTCTAGCTGACTGTATCATATCCTTAAATTCATTCATTTTAATTATTTGATGAAAATATTTTTTTCTCCCATCAACTGAGCATGAAACAAAATAGCAGAGCTGCTAATTAAACTACTCATTCTATATTATTTGTCATTCTCATTTGGTTTTAATAGTCTCATAATGAGAGTCTTTTTTCCTAAGAAATTACTACAGCATGTAAAAATCTTCATTTGAAACCAGGTTGACTTTAAGTGTGGGTTACATGGCCCTAGTTACTTTTTAAGGCACCACTTCATGCTTTAGTGTTCTCGCTTCAGCAGTTTAGATTTGGCCCTGTCAAACAGAATGTCTTAATTTTATGGACTGAATTCTGGTCCAGCATCTGTGAGCTTATAAACTATCAAACAAGGAGTGAGGTAAGGCTTCAAGAGGATTATCACAATCAGTATGTCAGTATTCTGACACAAACAACACAACTAGGTCCATTCCCAGGTTGAAGATGACTTCTGCAACGAACAAAAGTAATTTCAATAAGCAGAGGTGAGGGAAACTACTGCTGGGTCAAGAGGTCTAACAGAAAAATGTGAACTCTGCCATCTGGCCCTATCCTTTTCTGCAGCATAGCAGAGAAGCTATATTTTGGGAAATAAAAGGCTGACGGTTGTTATTTGCCTTATGCTTCAATACCGTTTTTCTTAACACATAAAGTGTTAAGATTGCCTTAAATTGCCTTTCGTTAACACTTGACTTTGAGAAGAACCATTTTTTTAGAGTTTCTAGAAAGTTAACATACTACCTAATTTGCCAATTTATTTTTTACTCAGAAGTAATTCATTTTTCTAGTAACAAGATTTTTAAGGAAAAAAGGTATTCCTTATTCTTTTCCCTCAATTTCAACCACCAGATGATATATAGAGTCTGGTATGTACCCTTCAAGACATTTTTTTTTATGCTTTTAACCACCATTGCCCTACCTTGCACACACACATGCATACAAATAATTATTTCTAAATAAGATTATAGAATGCATATTCAATTGATTTATTTAACAAGATATCTATGTTCAATTTTCATGTTTTGCAGCACTAAAAAAGAAAGAACTTTAAAACATGCAGATTTGATGAACAAAATTGCAAAGTCCACTTTCATGTATTCATTGAACAAATACTTTTTTGAGACAGGGTCTCATTCTGTTGCTCAGGCTGCGGTACAATGGCCCAATCATGGCTCATGGCAGCCCTGATTTCCCAGGCTCAAGTGATCCTCCTAGGTCAGCCTCTGATATGGTTTGGCTGTGTCCACACCAAAATCTCATCTTAAATTGTAGCTTTCATAATTCCCACAGGTTGTGAGAGGGACCTATGGGAGATAAGTAAATCATGGGGACAGTTTCTCCCATACTGTTTTTGTGGTAGTGAATACGTCTCATGAGATCTGACAGTTTTATAGAAGGTTTCCCCTTTTGTTTGGCTCTCATTCTTTCTTGTCCACTACCATGTAAGATGTGCTTTTTGCCTTCTGCCATGATTGTGAGGCCTCCCCAACCATGTGGAATTGTGAGTCCATAAACTTCTTTCTCTTTATAAATTACCCAGTTTCAGGTATGTTTTTATCAGCAGCATGAAAACAAACTAATAGAGTAAATTGGTACTGGGAATGGGGTGCTGCTGTAAATATACCCAAATATGTGAAAGCGACTTTGGAGTTGGATAACACCCAGACGTTGGAACAGTTTGGAGGACTTTCAGAAGAAGATATGAAAATGTGAGAAAGTTTGAAACTTCCTAGAAACTTGGAGGGCTCAGAAGATAGAAAGATGTGGGAAATATTGGAACTTCCCAGAGACTTACCGAATTGCTTTTACCAAAATCCCGATACAATTTGCAGCCTGATGATATGATGAAAAAGAAAAACCTGTTTTCTGAGAAGAAATTCAAGTTGGCTGCATAAATTTGCATAAGTAACAAGAAACCAAATGCTTAACGCCAAAACAATGGGGAAAGTTTCTCCAGGACATATCAGAGTCCTTTATGGCAGCCCCTCCCAACAGAGGCCCAGAGGCCTAGGAGAAATAAATGGTTTCATGGGCCAGGCCGAGGGCCCCCCTGCTGTGTGAAGCCTAGGGACTTAGTGCCCTGCATCCCAGTAACTATAGCACTGGCAGAAAGGGGCCAAGGTATAGCTCAGGCTGTGGCTTCAGAAGGTACAAGCCCCAAGGCTTGGCAGCTTCCATGTGGTGTTGAGCCTGCAGGTGAAGAGAAGTCAAGAATCGAGGTTTGGGAAGCTCTGCCTAGATTTCACAGGATGTATGGAAACACCTGGATGTCCAGGTAGAAGTTTGCTGTAGAGGCAGAGCCCTCATGAAGAACCTCTGCCAGGGAAGTGCTGAAGGGAAATGTGGAATGCAAGCTCCCACAGAGAGTCCCCATTGAGGCACTCCCTAGTGAAGCTGTGAGAAGAGGGCCACCATCCTCCAGATCCCAGAATGGTATATCCACTGACAGCTTGCACAATGTACCTGGAAAAGCCACAGACACTCAATACCAGCCCATGAAAGCAACCAAGAGAAAGGCTGGACTCTGAAAAGCCACAGGGGCAGAGCTGCCCAAGACCATGGAAACCCATCTCATGCATCAGTGTGACCTGGATGTGAGATATGGAGTCAAAAGAGATCATTTTGAATCTCTAAGATTTTACTGCCATGCTGGATTTTAAACTTGCCTGGGACCTTTAACCCCTTCATTTTGGCCAATTTATCCCATTTGGAATGGGTATATTTATCCAATGCCTGTATCCCCATTGTATCTAAGAAGTAACTAACTTGCTTTTGATTTTACAGGCTCATAGGCAGAAGGAACTTGCCTGTCTCAGATAAGACTTTGGACTGTGGACTTTTGAGTTAATGCTAAAGCAAGTTAAGACTTTGGGAGACTTTTGGGAAGGCATGATTGGTTTTTAAATGTAAGGACATGAAATATGGGAGGGGTCGGTGTGGAATTAAATGGTTTTGCTCTGTCTCCCAACTCAAATCTCAACTCAAATTGCAGTACCCACTCCCATGTGTTATGGGAGGGACCTGGTGGGAGATAGTTGAATCACTGGGCAGTTTCTCCCATCTGTTCTTGTGGTAGTGAATAAGACTCATGAGATCTGATGGTTTTATAAGAGGTTTCCCCCTTTTTTGGCTCTCCTTTCTTGTCTGCCACCATGTAAATGTGCCTTTTGCCCTCTGCCATGATTGTGAGGCCTCCTCAGCCACTTGGAATTGTGAATCCACTGAACCTCTTTTTCTTTATAAATTACCCAGTCTTGGGTATGTCTTTATCAGCAGTGTGAAAATAAACTAATCCAGCCTCCCAAGTATCTGGGACCACAGATGCACACTACATGTCCAGCTGGCTTAATTTTTTTTTTTTTTTTTTTTTTTGTAGAGATAGGTTTTCCCTACATGTGGCCCAGGCTGGCCTCAAACCCCTGGGATCAAGTGATCCTCCCACCTTGGCCTCCCCAAGTGTTAGGATTAGAGGCATGAGCCAGTGTGCCTTCCCAGCAAACATTTTTGAGGGCCTCAAGGTAAGGCCTTTTTATAGGCATTGATAATTCAAAAATGAGTAGGGTAAAATCTCATAATAGTAAGGGAATGTATTCTCTTACTGGGTCCAAAAGGAGGCGTAGTTTTAAGGGCAAGATTTTCCCAGTGCCATGCCCCCGTCCCATCTCTCTCCATCCAGGAGAGTCAATGGTTTATGTTTGAATTTCATGAGAGCAGGAAGAAAATAAGAGTCAAACCCTCCAGTGGAAGTTTAAAGGAACTCCTTTCATTGGCCAGAGGAACTTGGGAAGGTGGGAATCTCTCAGGATAAATTCCCCTGCTCCTTCACCCATGCAGGATTTCCAGCTCTCTGGAATCCCTTCCCACACTGTGGGAGCTCCCTTTCCCCTCTGGCATTTCCCCTCTGGAATCCCCTTCCACATTCTTCGTGGAAGTCTTTCTCTTCTTCTCCTCCTTTTCTCTTTTCTCTACCTAAATAAAAATCACCTTTCTGCAACACTTCTTGGGTCCAATATTTACTTTTACGAGTATACGGCACACCTGCAGTGGTCCCATCGCTTATTCTTTAAGAGATTGGAGACGAAGAACCCACAGCATTCTCTCAGGGGAGCTGTGCCTCAGCAACACCCAATAAAAAACCCGGTTACAATAGCACCATCCACTGGAAATGTTCTATAACTGTATTGTCCAATATGGTAGCTACAAGACACATGGGGCTACTTAGCATTTGGAATATTAACAGTGTGAATGAGAAACTGAATTTTTTAATTTATTTAATTTTAATAAATTAAAGTTTAAATAGTCACACATAGCTAGTAGCTACTCTATTGGGTAGTAAAGGTAGCAACAGAATTACAGTTGTAGCTTTGGGGCAAGGAGAAGAGGAGAACATCTTTCCCACTCTTGATATTTCCTTCCAGGTAAAGGAAGCTCAGTTAGTAAAACTAAGGACCTTTCTCTCCCCCTTTCCTCGCCTCACCAGTGGAGGTGGCATGACTTATCTGACTGATAAACTTAGAGGTAAACTGCTATGTATGCTCAACTCAACTTATCATCTCTTCCTCATGGGAGGGAGCTTCCCAGAGAGGGTTGGCATTGCTGCTTCTCCAGGGGAAGGCTCTTCTCTCCACCATAGTGAAGTTTGCCTGTGTCTGAGCTTCTGTGAAAGGGCAGGTAATTCTGCATGATACAGTTCAATTTGGAAAGACTAGTTCCATAACCCAGATTTTATTAGTAATAA